ACGGGTAAGCCGTTGGAAATCCGTTGGAAAAATTCCAACGGATTAATCCGTTGGAAAAATCCGTTGGAATTTCACATTTTTTTTGTAGTGAGAGTTCCAAACAGCCAACCGTTGCAGATTCTACTACAGAAGTCGAGTACATAGCAGCATCGGATGCAGCTAAAGAAGCTGTTTGGATCAGGAAATTTGTGGGAGACCTGGGGGTCATTCCTAGCATTGCAGATCCCATTGACTTGTACTGTGACAACAATGGTGCTCTTCTCCTTGGTCTGTCCGAGGAAGCCTTCGTCCATCTCCATCTCCTTGAAACGATTCCGAATTCGAGAGCCCCTCTCGTGAGCCGGTGATCGAAATCGTTTCCCGTAACTCCACTTCGATTATTCCCCGTTCATCCGTGAATTCGAGAGCCACTCACAGTGAGCCAGTGATTGCGGTTGATGTTGGTTGTGATGCTCTAGGATGATTCGTGATATGATATTTTGACTTTGTATTGATTCATTGGTTTATGAATGCATTACTTTTCCCGTTATATGATTAGCATGTTTGTTATATTACGGTAAATATCCTTGAATCATTGCAGATAATTCTAAATTCTCTGGTCAGTTATCATTGTGGGAACAATGATGAATTAAGACCAGCATGATGTGTGATAGATGATTATGATCATATGCATTAGATGCAAATCACAATCATGGGTTCTCGTTTGGAACGAGTTACTGGATGACCCGCATGAGATTGTCACATGGACATGAGTCATGACTTGAATCTCATACAGCGGTTCGTTCTTGGATCCTCAGACCTGAGATGTCTAGAGTATCTGATATGAGGAGTGACGTGTCTTGACTGCGTCAAACGTCGTCTTTAACCGGATGATCATAACGGCGTTGCTCAGATACGTTCACGAATCATATGCAGATAGTAGACATGCAATACGGGACTTGTCACCTCCTACGCAGGAGAGATGTCGCTGGGCCCCTCGTGGAAATCGGACTGTGAAAATGCGTGGCCACGCTATAGATGAATGTACATCTATATTATCAGTCGGTTTGCCTAGACGAGTAAGCGGTTGAACTTGAAGGGTGGCTCATACCATGCCCTTGTTCAACATACGACATCGTGAGACAAAGGATCAGAACTCGAACTATTGCTGGCTTTGTTAGATCACCTCTAACTCTATTCTAGGGGGGTAGTCATGGCGTCTTGCTAGAGGCTAACCATGACTTGTGGTTCGGAAAAGGTTCCCGAAGCCACTGCCACTTCAAATGGGCCTACAGGGTCACACACCATTAGGGATGGATCACACGTGAAGAGAACAACGCGAGAAAAGAGCGACGAAGCGATCTGGAAGAGTTCCGCTGAGGAACGTTCGTTCCGCTGAGGAACGGACGGAACGTCCGTTCCAGGCCTGGAACGGACGGTCCGACTTACGGGCAGTTTTCGGTTTTCGCGTTTTAAGGGTTTTGGGCAATTCTAATTAAAGAGAGAGCCGCCACAAACCCTAGAGTATGAACCTCAGACGTCCAAAACACTCATGAGAGCTTAGAGAAGCTTGATTTTGAGTTCTAGTGATTGGAATATCGATTCCAAGTCAAGGACATCGGTTTTTTTTCTCTTCACGAATCCTAGCAGATACGTTCCAAAGCGTTGGAATTCATCCCGCCGGTGTGGATACGTGTAGAGGAGTTGTGCTTTCAACTCTTGGTGATTAAAACAGGCCCTGGATCGATTGATACTTCCAGATCTTGAAAGAACGAGGTAAGTATTCGAATCCCACGACGATATACACGATTGTTCGGGTTATTGCACAATTGGTTTTTGTGTGACGTTTGGCTAGGTTTAGATCTTTCCTTCCGCTGCATGAAACCTAGAAACCAAACCCTAGATCGATGAGATCGCATGCTAGGAACCCGAAGGGAACCCCAACAGTACTTTAGGTCTTCTTTGGAATGAGTTACATCGTCAAACAAAAAATGTGATCAATCCATATTGCTACGACTGATTTGACTTGAAAAATTTGTGATATGATATGATTATTACTATGTTAACACTTTTAAAATGATAAATTATGCAATTTCGAATAAGTCTGATCATTTGACCAAAGTATGACCGTGTGACCGTATAACCGTTTGACTATTTAGGTACAAAGAAGAAAGACCTAAATTAAATTTAAACGATTCAAAAAGTTGTATAGGGGTTATAAGAATAATATTGCATCGTTTTGGAGTTCTAATTTCACGTGAAAAAAATCTTTCAACATAAGTCAATTGTATCCAATGTATTATACAAACAATACTAGTACTTTAGGTCTTTTTTGTAATGAGTTACATTATCAAACAAAAAATATGATTAATCCATATTGCTACGACAGATTTGAACTTAAAAAATTTGTGATATGATATGATTATTACTATGTTAATACTTTTAAAACGATGAATTATGCAATTTCGAACAAGTCTGACCGTCTGACCAAGGTATAACAGTATGACCATTTGGATACGAAAAAGAAATACCTAAATTAAATTTAAACGATTCAAAAAGTTGTATAAGGGTTATAAGAATACTATTGCATCGTTTCGAAGTTCTAGTTTTACGTGAAAAAATCTCTCAATATAAGTCAATTATATTCAATATATTACACAAACAATACTAGTACTTTAGGTCTTCTTTGGAAGAAGTTACATTGTTGATGACATCGTTGTTCTTGGCACCATGAGCAAAATCGAATCGGTTTGACTGGTTAGCATTTCGAGAGCCAAATTTTCTTTGCGGATTTTCATCAAACACTTTCCATGCATTTTCAAATTCTTCAACTTTGGTGTGTCGGATCTCGTTATAAAGGAAAAATTTGACGAGTGTAAGCTTAAATGATATTGTTCATTCGAATCGAATCGAAGTGAAACCCTAATAAGCCAAAATTCTATATAAGAAGAACATGTTTGATAAACACTTTTAAATTCGTAAATTCATCATTTTTGAAAAAGTCTGACTAGTCTGAACCGGTATAACTCTATGACCAGTCTAATGATATGAACAAATTATGATCGGTATGACCAAAGTTTGACCGTATGACCAAAGTCTGATCGTCTCACCAAAGTATCATTATTTTGACCAATGTCTGACTGTCTGACCGATTTAAATTTAAAAAACGTGGTATATGAGATTATTATTATTATACCATATTAACACTTTTAAAATGATAAATTCATCAATTTTCAAGAAATCTGACCGTCTAATCAAATTCTAACCGTATGACCAATGTCTGACCATCTTATGAAAGTGTGACCAGTATGACCATTTTTTAAACGAAAAATAAAGGTCTAAATTAAGTTTAAACAATTAAAAAATTGTATAAGGGTTATAAGAATACATTTTATCATTTTGGTGATCTAATTCTATATATAAAAAAATCTCTTAACATAAGTCATCTTCACCCCAAAGTGTGACCAACTGACCAAATTATGAATGTCTCACCAAAATCTTATCGGTATGACTAAAGTCTGACCGATATGACCAGTATGATGTTTTAAGAGCCAAAATTTTTCTAAGGATTTTTATCGATCAATTTCCATGCATTATCAAATTCTTCAATTTTAGAACGTCGAATCTCATCATAGTAGAGAAATATGTTGAGTGTAAGAAGAAAATTGAGAAATTTGTTGTTAGAATCGCCAATAAAATATTTTGGAGAAAAAAGAATTTTTTTTTTTGCATTTTAAATTTTTAGAAAAAGTGAATGAAGAAATTTTTCGAAGTTTTTTTTGTTATATAGAAAGTTGCCAAGTATTCAATTTTTGAAAGGTAAACTAGTCTTTTTGTTGTTTTAATTTTTTTAAAAAATCCTAAACCTAGAAGGTTATCACTTGAAACAAGAAATGACATTTGGGGTTATTTCTGCAATTTTTTCAAAGCTTAATACGGATGTGACATTTAGGAGGCATTATATAAAAAATACTCTTACTTTGCTATTTGTACTTCAAGACCTATCCTTATGACCATGTGATCCAATGTGACCAATATGATCAATATGTGACCACACTATATTTCAGTCATATTGGTCATATGGTTATAAGGATAGGTCTTGAAGTACAAATAGTAAAGTAAGGGTATTTTTTATAATGCCCCGTTTAGGAGTGAAGAGAGTTTTTCAAGACTTTCACATTTTTATTTCATATGTTTGACAAGTTTTTATAGAAAAAAAATACAATTTGATAAAATCCCACGAATCCTCAATTATCCTATTTTTATACTCTAGAATAGATACAATATTTAACGACTTAAAAAACAAAAATTTAAATTCGAATAGAAAACAAATAACATAAAAAAATACAATATTATTTTCTAACAATAAATAAATACCATATGTGAATACACGTGTAAGACTATGCAATCGGAAATTAATGTGAGTAATGGAAAATAATTATTAGACAAATTTTGTGAGGAAAACTGTTTATTTATTATTATTATTATTATTGTTATTATTATAATTATTATTATTATTATTCGCCCGTCGTAACCGAATTTTATAGTTAATTTGGTTATCTAATTCTTTGGACAAAATAGATATATTCGTAACAGTAAAATCGCCATTCGTCACAACTGGTCCCTAAGCCATGAGCTGTTTCAAGCCGGCTTGGTTCTTGTTTTTACTAATTTACCCTTGATGTCACCACAAAGGCTTTGCTATCTGAGTGGGTAATAAATGGGTAAAATCGTCATTTCTACAGTGCAAGTTCCATCGCCGATCAAAAACAGCAAGGAACGAACGCTGGCTCGCTTCGATCCCGTTCTCTCATGGCTGTTGCACGAACATCGCTGGATTTCGATTTCGAGCTCTGGACGAACTCGTTGGAACGATCCAATCTCCACAATCCCTAATTTTTGGGGAAATAGTTTTTTCCTGTCGACCTTTTTTTGTTCGCGTTTTGATTCGAGGTAATAAAAAAGGAGGTCTGGTTTCATCTTCAGAAGTTGATCCAGGTTCTAGGGTTTCATTCTATGTTCTTGCTGTTGTTTATCGTGCTTATTGAAGATGCTCGAGTTCGTTTGTTGAAGCTTTATGTTTGATTCATTTATCTCCTAGGGTTTTTTATTGTGTTGAAGTTTCCGGGGATTATTTTAGTCTCCGAAATTTTGGTTATTGCTTAATTAGTTTGGCGTTTGGGTGATGAAGTTTGATTTTGATGAAATTATCGGATTAAGGTGGCGAATCAGTTCAAATTTTGTACTTACTTGGGAAAAGTTGTGCGAAGTTGAGAATTTAGTTACTCGGCAATGCAAATCAGCTGTGATGAAGACATTTAAGGAGTTCTCTCTCTCTCTATATATATATTTTGTTTCTTTTCGAATCTATTCTTGGTTTAATGATAATTATTTCACTGATTAGGTGATTGGCTTTCCGATTTTGCCAGGTACTACACGAACTGAGGGCCAGCGAGATTTCCAGGAAATTTTTTCACCCATCTGGTGGATCTCTCAGTAAGCTGAAGGAAAGGAGAATTTCTGAGGAAGAAAGGTTAGAATAACTCGCTGTGTGATGAGATAACATGCAGTTTCTACCTTTTTTTTGGGATATCTGATCTTACTCGACCACTTTATGTTCTACTAAAGGTGGAAATTAGTTGCTTAGTTTAGTACAAAACCTCTTTCCGGTCTTACCTTTCCCAGATTGAGTTCTGCAATGTCTGACTGAAGTTTGAGATGGTTTATGATACTTTTGAAGCAATTATATTAAGTTAATACATTAGGCGACCAAATTATTCCAAAACAAATTTACTCCTAACCAAATTACTCTGGAATCGTGCAACAGAATTCCTGTGGTTGTACATATGCCGAGATTTGAGAATTTGTTCTTTTTCTTTTCAGTTCCTTAAACACGTGGGCAGTGTAAACCGAATGCCGTGCTATCTCACTAATTTGTGTGTTTAAGTTCTACCTGTAATAGTTTGTAATTTGTTTGTTTTGCAAGTAAGGCTAGATATATTTCCACGGAAAAAGAGTTAAGGTACCCCTGAGACTAAGGTCATAATAAGCTTTGTTGCTTTGCAGGTCTTTATCTTCATTCCAATTTTTAAGATCCGAGGAATTAGCATTTATGTGCTGCAGTACTACAAGCTTGTCATGCTCCACTATATATATAGTGTGTATAACAAAGCAGTGAACTTGCGAAAGCTGAAGGAATGTCAGCACCTGGAAAATTTGATTATTCTTCTACTGGGCAGGATAGGCCTTTATACAGATCCAACTTACCTGCTCAGATGGAAAGATCAAGCAGTTTTCGCGAGACTATGGATCACCCTGTCCCATCTTCTCATCCAACCATGTTGAGGAGCACCTCACCGATAACACAAACTGATGTGACGAATTTCTTCCAATGTTTGCGTTTTGACCCTAAGGTGGTTGCCGCAGATCACAAGTCTATTCGTCAAGGTGACTTTAAACGGCATGTGAATATTGCCCTTGGGATAGCAGGGGATGAGTCTCCAAGTGGAACACTGAAAGGAAAGTTGATTTCTTCTCCTGTACCGGAAGAGATCAAAAGACTGAAGGCTGGCCTGCGTGAAAACAATGTGAAGGCCAGGTAGTTTAATTACCACAAGTTAATTGGTCATGCTTGAAACGTCGTTATAGCTAATTGACTTTTTTGTGCTTGCAGGGAACGTGTAAAAATTTTCACTGAAGCTTCTTCTGTATTTAATAAGTTTTTCCCAAGTGTACCTACAAAGAAGAGGTCTCGACCAGAAGGGTTTTCTAGTGACCGCTCTGGTGATCGTTTTGTTTTAGGGCCAGGCTTAGGTAAAATGGGAATCCAGGGTCAGACTCTGGCTGGCAGTTTTGAACTTGAGCAGCAAAAGTCAGATGAACGACCTAAAAGTGGTGTACCAAATAAGCGCACACGCACTTCAATGGTAATTTCAGATTATTGTTCAGCAGAATCCGGTTTACTGTATTTCATTCAGCAGCTGTTCGAGCCAATAAATTTTTTCATATACTTCAATACTATAACCATTTATTCTATGATTTATCATTTGTTACCTGCCTCGACACTTTTTTAGTCGCCTTACCTCTGATTTCTGGTTCCATCTACTGTACCAGTTTTTGGTGAAAACTCTGAACTGAGGATCTTTCAGAAAAGCTACAACTTGTACTTGCGATACTGATATAGACATTATTTTTTCTTTAACTACATGCAATTTTAAATGCTGTACTTAAGCCCAGATACCGAACAATTTTTATCGTTGTAGTTTTATGTAGGTGCTCAACTGTTTCTGCTTCTATGCCAATTAAATGTTGGTATGGAATTCGTTTGACATTCATGTAACTGCACTATGATGTAACTGTTTTTTCATCTATTGATTTAAGTTTACCAGTTTGTTATTGCTTCTCAAGAGTATTGATTTTTCCTTTTATATTTTCTCGTATTCAGATGGATGTTCGAAGTAATGCTATTGTTCGACAGTCGGCTGCTGTAGATAGGGATAAAGACACAATGAGGCTGGCAAATCATAATTCAGTTCAGGGTGAGGACCGAACTTCATCAATTGGCATTGATGGTTGGGAAAAATCGAAGATGAAGAAGAAACGATCTGGTATAAAAACAGATGTTTCTACAAGCTTGGTGTCAAATAAAGCTGTTGAAGGTTACCGAGACTTGAAGCAGGGAATACTGCAGAAAGTAGCTGGTGATTCCCGATCAAGATTGAATGGTGACTCGAACATGTTAAGGTATGATCTCTCCTGTTAAGATGACAACCGAACTCACTCTTTGGCTACAATGTGTTAAGCTGATGGTCTGAATGGCTTTTATTATCCTTATATATTGACTGTCATGTCCCAACTTGCAAGCTTCATAAAACTTCTTTTATTTCATTTTGTAGAGTATTCGTCATTAGATTGGAAAAGTGGTATGATGAACTTAGTTGGGATTAGGATTAAGAAATAGATTATTTCTGTCTCATACAAAAAAAAGGTTTCTTCGACTGCTTTGGTTGCAATTGTTTATCCATGTATTATAACCTTTTTGGGTTTTTTTAATGTCATTTATTTTCTTCTGAAAAATGATTTTTCTGCTACTCTCCTGTGGTTAAACTATGTGTGCCGTGGAGGAGATGAGGTGTAGGATGCTTGTAACGGTCGACTTGTACCTAAATTGCTATGTTTCTAAAGTTGGAATTACCAAATTCATTCATTCTGTTGTACGCATTCAGATTATTTTCCTGTTCAATTTCTCATTTTGTGCACCACTTTCCTTCTCCGCCATTTAAAGTTTATCAATAAAATTGTGATATGTGGAATGTGAAGATCTTAATTAGGTAGTCATTCACTCTTTTCTATAATGATTATATCCGCTGTTATAGAAGTCTTTGCTGGATAAATGAGTCTTTATGCTGTAAAAGTTTTTTCTGTATTTTGGAGATGCATCCGAGAGTCTGCTGTGTGCTCCCAGCAACAGGCAGTTTCTTCAGTTTGTTTCTGCAATCTTTTGCTCGGTGGCCCACACAGTGACCTTGGATTCCATCCGCTTGCTTGTTGAATGGATTATGGTGATGCTTTCAAGTCCCAGAATATGTCGGGGGTTTTTTCTTTAGCCTCATCTGGTTGAGAACTTTATTGACTTCTTCACTTGTCCTTTGTTGTCCTGTCAATGAAAGCGATTCTCACTCCCCTTTGATGGTTATGCAGTAGATCATAATCTCCTATTATTTGATATAGGCAAGGAGCCACTAACGGAGCTGCTGGATATGGAAGATCTGATAACCTCTCTCAGCAGACAGGCTTAGCAGGACGTTCCTCTCTCTCCAGGGTTGATTTTGATCACAGTTCTTTGTACAATGAGAAGCGAGAACGTTCTATTGGTTCTGACAAGGAAAGGGTGAATCTGAGGGCTATCAACAAGTAAGCGCCATAATCTTAAGCAAAATTTTCATTTTTCTGAATTCATGAATGATATGCACCTTGTTTCTGATCCCTTTTTGCTGCTCCTCTCCTGGCTGGATGACTTACAGATCAAATATTCATGATGAATTCAATTCTTCAAGTCCAACTTCAAATGCAAAAACAAATGCTTCAATCCGTGGCCCGAGATCGGGATCAGGGCTTCCGCCAAAACTCTCGCCTGTGGTCCATAACGCTCCTTCTCCAAATGATTGGGATATTTCCAGTTGTACAAATAAGCCGCCCACAGTATCTGGGGTTACCAATCGTAAGCGAATGACAGCTAATCGATCTTCATCACCACCAGTCACTCAATGGGCTAGTCAAAGACCACAAAAGATATCCCGTATAGCAAGAAGAACAAATTTAATTCCCATTGTTTCGAGTAATGACGATGTTCCCTCCTCAGATAACGTATCAGATATTGGCTGTAGTGAAATTGGGTTTGGATTCCATAAACGCTCACCAGCAGCTTCTCCTCAGCAAGTCAAACTGAAAGGTGAAAATAGCTTCTCGACAGCAGCTTTATCAGAAAGTGAAGAATCTGGGCCCCCTGAAATCAAGTCGAGAGACAAGGGTAAACAATCTGATGAGGTAGATGACAAAGCTGCGGATAATGTGCCAAAAGTGTCCATTCCCATTTTACAATCAAGAAAAAATAACAAGCTTGCGATCGGTGAAGAGCTCAGGGATGGGGTTAGGAGGCAAGGAAGAACAGGCCGTGGCTTTGCTTCTACAAGGTCTCTCACGCCAATGAGGTTGGAGAAGCTTGGCAATCTTGGAACAGCAAAACAACTTCGCAGTGCAAGACAAAGTCTTGACAAGAGTGAGAGGTAGGGATTCATATGTTATAAAAGTACTTTTCATTTCTCTTCTTTTTTCTGGATTGATAATAACTTTTGGGTTCATGGGGCTAGTCTCATGGTTATATTCATATATTTTGATCAGCAAGGTGGGCCGTCCGCCTACTAGGAAGCTCTCTGACCGCAAGGCTTACAAACGTCAGAAGCATACACCGTCAAATGCAGCACTAAATTTTCTTGGTAAGCTTAGTGCAGTTTTAATCAGGATTCTTTTCCATGGAAAGATTCATACTTTGCGTTTATTTACACATATTGGTTGAATTTCTTAGTTGGTTCAGATGATGGCCATGAGGAGCTACTGGCTGCTGTCAATGCTGCTATAAATTCTGGTAAACTGTTGTTCTTTTCCTATGCTTATTTGCCAAATTTTATCTACGTATTAATATTTTTTAATCCATGATACAGCTAGGAACTTGCCCAATTCCCTCTGGAAGCAGATGGAGCGTTACTTTTGCTTTATATCAGATGCGCATATCAATTTCTTGAGACAACAGGTGACACCTTTTATTCCACTTGACAGACACAGAGACTACAGTTAGGATTAACTTTACACAGTTAGGGTCTCATTGTTTGAGAAGGACACGTGATGAATATTCCAACTGCCCCCTTATGTATTGTCATATTAGCTCCATTAGTGAATTAGTATCCGCACCCAACCACTTGGAAACGGTAGTCTAGTGGCTTGGGAATCAAATGTTCTGCAAGGAACATTTGGGTTCAGTTTTCTCCCCTCCCCCCTTGGGATAGAGAAAAGAAAACAGTTGTCAATTATCTAGTGTACATTTAATTTGACATAATTGGGAAATCTATCGATACATTCGGTTCCTCCACTTTCTGTAAAATGGGTATATTCGTATTATCACATGTATTATATAGATATTTGTAGCTAAAGATGCAGTTCGATTAAGCAGAAATCTCCGATTTCAGTTGTCAAATAATCATTTCATTGGTTTGCAAGTATTTTCAGAGAGATACGAAAATTGGAGACAAGGGTGTCAGATGTCTGTTAAAAGTTGTGATGTTATATAATTGCAAAATAACATCATTTCTGGTTCTTTCTGTAAACAAGTGCGCTCTTTTGTGATTTTTTTTACATGGGTTTTAAAAGTTTATTGTAGCTGTAACATTGTAACACATTTTAGACTATGTAAATCTCTGTTGCTTGACTTCTCTTCGTCAAATTCCTTCTTCTCTCTGTTCATTTAGAAAGTTTGTTTATAGATGAAAATGTATTAGGAAGCATTTTATCTAACCCTATCTCTCTTTCAGGGAGAACTGTCCTGTGTGGGACCATCACCGTTAGGGACATCTTCAGGCTTCGATAGTCGTGAAGTGTTGTTTCCTGAGGAATTTACAAGTAGAATGAACTCTAAAGCTTCTCCTCTCTATCAGAGATTGCTATCCGCTTTAATTTCCGAGGACTCTAGTAGCGTAACTGAAGATTTACAACTTGATGGATTTGACAACGCGAATGATCTTGATGTTGAGTCACGGTTCAGTGGTTTTAATCATTTGATGGAGTTCAATGGCTATAGCACCAATGAAGGACTGGAACATGAAGAGTCAGAAGATGATGTGTCTATGGGTCTGCATAAGGGAGTTAACAACTCATCTCACCATTCCAACGGCAGATTTTCAGACCATTCATCCATTGAATTCACAGATATTCAGTATGGAAATCTGGGGATAGACGAGAAGATATACCTGGAGGTTCAGTCTCTGGGGATTTCCTTGGAACCATTGGTATGTTCATTCAGAGACTGGCTACTTGGAAAACTGCTGTTGCTATTTTTTTTTTTTTGGTTTGTTAGTGGATATATAGTTACTTTCTGGTGCTGAAATGAAATATTGGCTCTTATTGCCATGGTTCCTTGTGGTTTGATGTTTTTGTGATGTGTTTGTTGCAGCCTAGCATTTCAAACGTGGAGGATGAAGGAATTGTTGATGACATAAAAAAGCTAGAGGAAGCTATCTGCGAGGAGGTATATTTTCTCATTGAGTTACATTCTTAAACAAACACAACATCAACGTTTGGGTGTATTTGGTGTTTTTTTCCTTGTGCTTATCATGCACTTTAAAGGATTCTGTTTCTTTTACATATATTGCAAAAGGATAGGTGTGCTTTTCAAGAATCAAGATAGTTCATCTTGTGATATTCTGTTAAATTATCAGGGTTCCAAGAAGAAAGAGATGGTGAATAGGCTACTAAAGCCTGCCCTAGAAATGAAAGAATGTCAGGAGAAGTATGAATTTTCGTTTCCTCTCCTTTTACAGTATGCATACGCAAATCTGTACTATGATCTGACGATTTTAATATATAACTTGTTCCTTCACATAGGGAGTTTGATCAGCTTGGTTATGATAAACTCGTCGAAATGGCATATGAAAAGAACAAGGTAAAATAATTTTGACCCTGCGAAAGGGTTCATTTTACTTTATTCTTCCTGCCCTTGCTGTTGTGGTACATTCGCATTTGTGCTCTCCTCCGAGTTTACATGTTTTTATTGATTCATATGACCACAGGCAAGTCGCCGTCATCACACTGCCAGTGGAAAGAGTTCCAGCAACAAAATATCCAAGCAAGCTGCATTGGCTTTCATTAAAAGAACTCTGGAAAGATATCATCAATTCGAAGAATCGGGCAAGAGCTGCTTTAATGAGCCTGCTTTCAAGGATATGTTCATTGTCGGGTTGGCGCAAGCCACAGATAATACTCCAGGAGACAATGAATACATGCCGTCAGCTTCTTCAAGTATCATCTCAAACCCTGTTAAGAAGCAAACTAACTTTGTTTCGGATCTTTACAATCACCCTGTTCATTTCTTAAATCTGTTTCTTGTCCCTTGCAGCTTTCATGGGTTTACACCCAAGTTCTTCTTCGGCAGAGCGGATGGGTCAGAATGGGGATAATTATGCTAATTCTTCTGATATTCTGCACTCCGAAAGTGCTTTACTGGAACAAACCACGGGTAAAGATGATACGATGTGGTCAAACAGGGTCAAGAAGAGAGAACTGCTGCTTGATGATGTGGGTATCGGGGCATCTCTCACGAGCAGTGGTGCGAAAGGAAAGAGAAGTGAGAGGGACAGAGATGGGAAAGGACAGGCTTCATCATCTAGAGGCGGAACTAATAAGATTGGTCGGCCTGCTCTGTCCAGTGCCAAGGACGAAAGGAAAATGAAAACGAAACCCAAGCAGAAAACGACTCAGACATCCGCATCTGTTAGGATATCAGATCAACCCAACGCACCATTATCCAAATCAAGGGAAGCTAACAATAGCAACAACAATGAGTTTAACTTGGAGGCACTTGATGAATCAGAGCCTCTGGACCTTTCTCACCTCCAAATACCAGATGGGTTAGGAGGACCAGATGATTTCGATACACAAGCAGGAGATCTAAGCACATGGTTGAACATTGATGATGATGCGTTGCAAGATAACGATCTGATGGGGCTTCAAATACCGATGGATGATCTTTCAGACTTGAACATGATGGTTTGAGGTTACTCTTTCTCTCCCTTTACATCTGTATAGTCTTGTTTCTTATACTATTGATGGAGAAACGCAAAGGAAAAGAGGAAAAAAAAAACAGTTTTGCTTCTCTGAAGGAATAACCAGTCACCGGAATGGTTATTGGCTGTCGGCTCCAGCAAATTAGGTCTTATAGATTCTTCTTCTTCTTCTTCTTCTTCTCCTTAGGGTTCCTTCTTATATAATTCGATTCTAGGGTGAACTGCTTTTGGGTTTTTGTTTTCTTCTTTTCGGTTTACAGCTTGATGGGGATTGGAGTTTGGCTCATGTGGTTAAGTTAGGTCGGTAGGTAAACTTCCCGGCTGTAAAGAGCTTTTGCGGCAAAAAAGAAAAAGAAAAGAAAGGATGATAGTAATATGTTTGTAGTGATATCGTTATAAGAAATTGTGGGGTCTTCTTCTTCTTCTTTGAGCCATGTAGCTTTCATAGCATGAGAGAACCATTGCCTTTTCCTTGTACATACAGTTTTATCTTCTGTAATAAAAAAAAAAAATGCAGCTTCTTCAAGGTAACATGATATCGCTCTCGTCTTCTGCACTTTGATGTATCGTATTTGGTATTTCGCGTTTTGATCTGCATATCGCAAACGCAGACACAAACGCATCGTGAAACGCTCTTTGCCCGTTTGCAGTTTTGGCGTTTGGGTTTCATTTCAATATATATTATTGAACTGCAAAAAGCTTTCCATATCTCACCAACAAGATCAAGTCCTTCACAAAGGTTACACGCTATGCCAATTCCTATACAACTATCATACACAAAGGGCCTATAAGGATATCACCAAACATACGAGGTCGAAGCTTCTTCAACACACACACATATGGAATTGCCTTCAGATCTGCATCATGTTGAAGGAGAACTTGGAAAGAAGCTTAGGGATCTCCGATATTATCGGCCCATATGTCTGCAAGGTGTATAAGGTTACTATCAATATTAGAACAAAGCGTTTGTTTAGGTGTATCATGTCATTGGCAAGATGAGTTCCAATTGGGTATTATTCAGTTACCTCTCATCTTAAACAAATGGGTCGGAAATGACAGATTTACGGAATCAGAAAAGGTCGTACCTTTGCGTTTTCGTGAATCTGGCACAACGTAACAGCAAGGAGCTTGAAGTTTTTAGGCACAAAAAACTTCTGAGTCACTGGTTGCCTCACTAGGAATAGCTTAACGCATTCCTGTGGATGACAAACAGCAATAGAACCAGTCAGTGTCTTAAGCATGAATTGCATTGATAGCCTTTGGTATCTATTGAGAATACAACCTTTGGTCGGTTTACATTGGGTGGCACGATCGGATACATCACTGTCTCGAAATCAGGTCTCCACCACATCCCGATGCATTCTCCTACCTGAAAAGATTCATAAGCAGAGAAATCCATCCTTCAGATCATTCCTCCTCCACCTGACTTGCTTATCAGGGCAAACCCCAAGATCTATAATATGTACCTCCCAACTCGGGACAATGGCATCTTCATCGACTGAGAGCTTTGATGAAAGTTTCCGTCTCAGTCCTTCGATATCTAGTAAGAAAAGAGAAGCTAAGAACGAAACCGGACGACCGAATTCACTTGGAGACCAAAGTCATGGCCTTTCGAAATGTAAACAAGTTACCAGATTCTGCGGGTCTCAAGCGACCACCTGGAAGCTTAAAGACAGAGTTCCTAAACTGAAGTAGCAACAGATGTGGATGTTTGAACAGCTCAACCTGATGTTAGCAACATTCAGAATCTCTTGAGATATGTAATCAACATTGTAACACTTTTTTTAAGCTAGAATTTTCTCTCATTTACCCTGAAAATACCAACTTCAGTGATCAATATCAACACCAGAACCATTTTCCATGAAGTTTTCTTTACAAACTTTTTCACCATCAAAACTTCTAACTTTCAAACCATTTCTCATCAAATTCGTTTCGTACAAAACTTAAAGTTCGAGTCCCGCTTACACTAAAAGACAAGGAACTCAGAACCCCAGATGAACAGAAAGCGCGAAATTGGGACGACAAAGCTGAGAGTTACCAGAAGAACAGCTTCGACACAAGTTCTCAACCCATGAGCAGCATAACTTCAACAGAGAGAAACAAAAGAAGGGAGAAACATCAGTATTCAATTAAGAAATGCGCAAATAACTACGGAATTGGAGCTACTACAAACAGTCGTAAGGATTTGAAACCAAATACACAGATGATCGAAAAACGCGGAGACTAAGAAAATGTTTTACTTTGATTTCAATCTGTCGACGCGATCAGATAGAGTCTCGTCCTTCACGGGAAGAGCACCTCGGCAACCGAAGTAGTAGCGGCTAAGCGGGAATACGTCCACGATCACGCCTTGAACGAAACCGTTTCGACTCGTTGAGTTCTCCTCGCTCATCGCCATCTCCAGAACTCGAGCTTCTTCACCCATTTTTCCCGGAAAACTCAAGATAGAAAGCGCTGTTGGATATTAAACTTGTTCTAGAATGTGTTCATTCTAGGAACCTGTGTTCAAAGTTCAAACATGTTATTTTGTGTTCAATACTTGGAGTTTGTGGTCTTGGAAGTTTAGAAAATATTTACTATATGTTAGACTAAGCATTATTATGTGTCTCTAGAATGTTCCTAAGAATAGTATAAATATGTGTAAGTTTGTTTTGTTTTCAAAACAACAAAAACACAAGAAAAGAAATATAAAGGAGTATTTTGAGGATTTCTCCTCCTCTCTTCTCATTCATATACTTATAAAAGTATATAAAGAAAAAGCCTAAGAGCTTACAAGTGGTATCAGAGCCGGGATATCATGGCGTCGACGAGTTCGATCCAATCGCAAGTTCCGCAACTTACGAAAGACAACTATCGTAGGTGGAGTATCCAAATGGAGGCTCTTCTCGGATCCCATGATGTATGGGACATGGTGGAGAACAGTTATGTCGAATCGGAGACAGTACCGGAGAATGAAGAGGAGAAACACAAAGATCTACGAAAGAGAGAGAAGAAGGCGTTGTTCACAATATATCAAGGAGTCGATGAAGTAACGTTCGAGCTTATTGCCTCGGCGACGACGTCCAAAGACGCGTGGAAAATTTTAAAGAAATCTTATGAAGGAGTTGATAAGGTGAAGAAGATTCGGTTGCAATCTTTACGATCGCAATTCGAAAGTCTACAACAAGGGAGTTCCGAGTCGATCTCGGATTACATTTCACGGGTAATCACCATTGTTCATCAAATGGCGACAAATGGCGAGACGTTGAAGGATGTTCGGGTCGTGGAGAAAATTTTGAGATCCCTTGACTCAAAATTTGATTCCGTGGCCGCTGTGATTGAAGAATCGAAGGATCTAGATACGATGACGGTGGAAGAACTTCTTGGTTCTTTGAAAGCGTTTGAAGATAGACTGAATCGGAGAAAAGGAGAAGAAAAATCCGTTGAGCATGCGCTCGAAGCGAAGCTCTCTTTGAAGACCGAAAATTCAAGAGGAGGTTATCAACACCGAAGAGGAAGAGGTGGAAATTACGGACGAGGAGGTTATGGACCAAACTATTGGATGCCGACAAAGAGTCAAAACGATGATGGAGAAAATAATATAAAGGAGTATGGCCATGGCGGAAGAGGTGGTCAAGGCCGAGGCTGGGACCGCGCCCGTGGTCGTGGATTTGGAAGAAATAATGGAGGAAGGTATGATAAATCTTGGATTCAATGTCATACTTGCAAGAAATTTGGACATTATTCCTATGAATGTTGGCATAATCCCGCTAATGATGGTGGAGAGAAAGTCAATATAGTCGACAAAGAAGACAGTGATACAGAAGAAGTGTTGATGTTATCACAAAATAAAGTCGAATCAAGCGGTGAGTCACAACCATTTGTTACATGGTATCTTGACACGGGAGCATCCAATCATATGTGCGGCAGAAAGGAGTTATTTACAAAGCTTGTCGAAAGGAACTTTGGCAATATCACGTTTGGTGATCTTTCAAAGAGACCAATTCAAGGGAAAGGGGAAGTCACACTGACCTTCCCGAACAAGAGACAGGTTTGCATCTCGAATGTCTATTATGTTCCCGATATTAAAAGCAATTTGTTGAGTGTGGGCCAGTTGTTGGAGAAAGGTTTTGATGTAAGGTTGAAGAATATGTCTCTAACCATGCGAGACAAAAATGGCCAAATGATCACAACCGTGGAGATGACGAAGAATCGAATGTTTCCATTGAGACTGAGCTTTAATGAGTCGAGGTGTTTGAAGGTAACGACTCTAGATAATTCAACTTTGTGGCATCTTCGATATGGGCATCTAAATTTCAAGGCATTAGAATTACTTCAGAAGAAGGATATGGTGATTGAGTTACCCAAGATTGCAGCTCCTAACAATCTGTGTGAAGTTTGTGTTATGGGAAAGCAGCAAAGAAAGTCGTTTCCGACATACAAGTCATGGAGCGCGGCATGTCCCCTTGAGCTGGTGCATTCGGATGTTTGTGGACCCATCAATCCCACATCGAATGGAGGTAATCGATATTTCCTGACATTTACTGATGATTATAGTGCAAAGACATGGATCTATATGCTTAAGGAGAAGAAGGAAGTTTTCACAAAATTTAAAGAGTTCAAGAGTATGGTGGAAAAACAAAGTGGATGCCCAATCAAGTACCTGTGGACTGACCGTGGAGGAGAGTATACATCAAATGAGTTTGAGAATTTTTGCAAGGAACACGGGATTTCTCGTCAGCTTACCATGCCTCAAACACCACAGCAGAACGGAGTTTCGGAGAGGAAGAACAGGACTATACTGAATATGGTCCGATGTATGCTTAATGAGAGAAAAGTCCCTAAGGAGTTTTGGGGAGATGCTGTTGCATGTGCTGTTTATTTGTTGAACAGATTTCCATTGAAGAAAATCAAAGACATGACACCGGAGGAAGCTTGGAGCTTACGAAAACCGAAAGTTGATCATCTCAGAATCTTCGGGTGTGTGGCATATGCAAAAGTGCAGGAAGAAAGACGAACAAAGCTTGAGGATAAAGGTCAGAAATGCATATTTTTGGGTTATGGTGAAAATTGCAGGGGATACAAGTTGTATAATCCCGAAACTCGCAAAATCATAATGTCTCGAGATGTTGAGTTTGATGAGGAGAAGAGTTGGGATTGGAATGGTAGTAATCAATCGCAGAGGATCATTCTCGAAGAAGTTGAGGAGAATTCACCATCCCGAGTTATCCAGGACCGTTTTGATAGCGGTGATTCTAGTAGCTCACCCATGAGAAAGATGAAGAGTATTCAGGAGATTTATGATACAACTCAGCCGATAGAAACTGAGTTTGATGATGAGTTTACTAATTTCTGTCTATCTGCTGGATTTGGATTTGAAGAAGTTAACAGGAAAAAGAAGTGGATCAAAATGAAGGATAAGTTGCAAGAAGCTCAGAGTCAAAGTTCGAGGAGGAACAAGTTTAAGGGAGGCTAATGTTGGATATTAAACTTGTTCTAGAATGTGTTCATTCTAGGAACTTGTGTTCAAAGTTCAAACATGTTATTTTGTGTTCAATACTTGGAGTTTGTGGTCTTGGAAGTTTAGAAAATATTTACTATATGTTAGACTAAGCATTATTATGTGTCTCTAGAATGTTCCTAAGAATAGTATAAATATGTGTAAGTTTGTTTTGTTTTCAAAACAACAAAAACACAAGAAAAGAAATATAAAGGAGTATTTTGAGGATTTCTCCTCCTCTCTTCTCATTCATATACTTATAAAAGTATATAAAGAAAAAGCCTAAGAGCTTACAAGCGCGACAGTGCTGGAACGTTCACGATAGATTAAATATGATTGATGATTGAAAACATCCTCTTGGCGGCAGAGATCATCAAAGACTATAACAGAGCTCAGACCAGGAAAAGTGCGATGCTGAAAGTTGATATTTGAAAAGCGTTTGACACACTTGATTGGGGAATTATCACACAGCTCTTGAAAGCAATACAACTTCCACCGAGATTTGTAGGCTGGGTCAAGATGTGCATCACTACAGCTAATTATTCGGTGGTGGTCAACGGAGAACCAACCGGATACTTTAAAGGGAGAAGAGGGCTTCGGCAAGGGGATCCCTTATCCCCCTATCTATTCATCATGGTGATGGAGGTTCTCACCCAGCTACTGGACAGAGCAGCAAGAGCAAACAGGTTCAAAATCCACCCTAAATGTAAATCTCCACTTTTAACTCATTTGGCCTTTGCAGATGACCTCATGATCTTCTCGGAAGGTGAGCAAGCGTCATTGCAGGAAATCAAACGAGTGCTAAAGGACTTCAGTATCTTCTCGGGCCTAACTATGAATGAAGGCAAAACTGACTTGTTCCTTGGAGGGATGTCGGACGAGGGAAGGGCGAACTTGTCTAGGAGCATTGGGCTAAAATTGGGAACCCTTCCGGTGAAGTACCTAGGGGTCCCTTTGAACTCAACACGACTACCTCGATCTGCTTACAACCCATTGGTCCAAAGTATTCGTGGAAAGCTCGAGCATTGGACAACACGATACTTGTCAAGCGCTGGCAAGATTCAACTCGTGACCTCGGTTATTTACGGCAAGGTCAACTATTGGAGCTCTGTCTTCCTCTTACCAAAGCAGATTCTCCGTGAGATTGACTCTTTATGCTCATCGTTCATTTGGCGAAACAATCTGGAAAAAGGGGTTGGGCACAGAATCAGTTGGGAAAACGTTTGTAAACCTAAGCAGGAAGGAGGTCTAGGCATAAGGCGCCTTGAAGAACAAAACATAGTCTTTCGTCTAAAGCTAATATGGCTACTCTTGAGTCAATCCGGCTCAATTTGGGTAGCATGGACAAGACACAACATTCTCAAAAACAAGAGTTTCTGGGAATGCAAAACCACTTCTGTAGCTTCTTGGAACTTCAAAAAATTACTGAAACTGAGGGACCAAGCAAGATCTTTTATACGGCATGATATCGGGAATGGGAAGAATACTCACTTTTGGTTTGATCACTGGCTCGACTTAGGCCCCTTAATAGACCTCATAGGTCCGACGGGACCGAGACTCCTACGGCTGCCTCGCTCGGCAACAGTGGCATCAGCAGTAAGGGAGAACAATTGGAACTTACCGGGAGCTAGATCAAACAGTATCCAACAGCTGCTAATCAAACTTGTGGATACAAATCCTCCAAGAGACGACAGAGGAGAAGATGTGGTCAATTGGAAGCACAAAAATGGCATATTCAAACCCACATTCAGTTCCAAAGCTACATGGCAACAGATAAGAAGCAGGAACCCAACAATCCCGTGGCACAACATCGTATGGTTCTCCGAGGCGATTCCACGTCATGCTTTTGTCTTGTGGCAAGTGATGCAGAAGAGGCTGCCAACGATGGACCGTCAACAGCAATGGGGCATCCACATGGCAAACCGATGCACTCTTTGCCGAGAGGAGACAGAAACCCACTCACACCTCTTCTTTCAATGTCAGTTTAGTGCTGCAGTATGGAATTATTTTGCAAGCAGGTTCAGAAGCTCACCACCATCGGATATCCAACTATGTCCCCCTTGGATGGCACTAATAGGGGAACATCAGGGAACGGATCTTCAAATCATCACCAAACTCCTTGCTCAGCTCATTGTGTATGAGGTTTGGCAAGAAAGAAATAGAAGGATCCATCATAACGAGGTTCAACCGCTACAGCAATTCCAAGGAAACATAGACAGGTCTATGAAAACTACTCTTCTCTCTTTGCAGAAAGCGCAATCCTCTCTCCGGTCAACTCTTTTACAGCAATGGTATCAACACACCTTATATTGAAAACATAGAACATCATTTGTAATTGATCCTATTTTGTATCACTTGCGCATGGAAATCCCGTGGAATTTTGTAATCGGTCACAAGACCATATGTAATCGCCACCATTTCGGCCAGTATTAATACAACACTCACCTTTAACCAAAAAAAAAAAATATGAGAGAGAGAGCGCGCGCGCGCCGAACCGAAGGGAAGGGAAGAGAAGAGAAGGTGGCCGAGAAGGTGACGTGGCAGTTCCAGAAAGATCATTTTTGGGCCTCTAATGGGCTTTGTTGTCGTAGAGAAAACAGCAGGATGTGCGATTGTATAAATCGAGAACGACACGCATCTTGATGCTCTCAGTCTCAGACATCTTTCAAATTCAAAGCATAAATATAAATTTTCTGTATCAATATGAAACGGAGATATTAGAATGCAAGAAATAAAACGGTCCATCATTCAACAGTCAAAATACAATCAACTATATTATAGTTCTAATAGTCAATCTTATTTCAAGTTTATTGCTCCCATTTAGTTGGCAAAAGAACAAGTGAAAAGTTTTGACTGTCCGTTTACAAACAGTTAAACCCTTTTAAGAGCCCCCCTTTATAATCTCTCGTTTGAAGAAGCATGCCTTCTATGATCGATCCATGCTCTACTTATAACTCTTTTTTATTCAAACATCTAATCGAAAATCATTGTCTGTTAGATCTCTGCAGATCCTACACGCCTTGAAAACACGAGATAAGCTCGGGATAGAGACGCGAAAAACTCGCAGCCAAGCGTCTCCCCTTGCCTTGGTTGCGGGTTCCTGCATTTAGGATTCATCAAGTTCCAAACTTGATTATGATTTACTGCAGTTTTCTGCTCGGATCTGTGGATCCATACCAATATGGAATGGGGTTGTTCTCTATCTCGGGAACTACTACCCGAAAGATCCATGGGAAAACCAGGGCTCGGTTTGGTTAAATACCGACATAACTCTTGTCTTGTGAAGGTCATAGTTTCAGCTTCCGTAGCAACCAAACTGGATAAGATGTCATTGGCATTGTCAAGACACAGATTTTTTGGTTAAGAGTGTTCATCACCGGAATCTGGAGCTCAAGCAATATTTCTGGGCTTGAAGAGTATGTCTTTACCAGGATAAAAAGGAAGGAAAACCATAAAATTGGATTGATCTGATAGTGAATACCGTTCCAGACAATAAAATAGTTCAGTGAGAATCCAATTTGGTGATCATAGCAATGGTGAAGAATGACATGGGAAAAATTGAGGAACTACTGGAACTCGGTATCATACCTGCTGCAAAAGATTCAACCTTTAAGCCAAAAGTTTCACATGTTTTCCGTCAACCGCAAACTTGGAGCTTGAATTTATCTGCAAGAAGGATATAACCGGAAAAAAAGGTGCGTCGATGAGAAGATCGTTAGAGAAAGAATGTACTATTGCAGAATTCAGATGGGATATAACCTTGTGCTCTATCTTCTCGTTAATCTCTGATGCATCTCTCGTTATGCCACGTTCCTCCAGAGATTTCAGAACAAGCTTTTTCAGTTTCTTCATCTTCAAAGCTCTCCCAGGTTGCTGTACCAGAAGATCAGAAACCAGTATTATATGTCACAGTTAAATTCAACACGGTAACCGAACAACATTCAGAATAATATGAAAAATCAGTAATTCACAATGATATATTCTGTTATTATTGATGGAAAAATGAAGTTTTACGAACGAGAGGTTAAATTATGTAATGATATCACCGCAACAATAATCAAGCAAGTTGTGAGAAAAACTAATGGAAATGGAGATATGGGAATTATACATACCGATTTAAGGGTCAACTTGATTAACTTCTTCCACTTGATTTTCTTTTCATCACCTTTCTTTTTTGCCTTCTTTGGTTCACTCTTTTTCTCGTGGCCTTGTGCTTGTTCGGCCTGAATCACTTCCTCATTGCCCGTTCCATCGGAACTCTCAAGCTTTCTTTTCTTATTTGTTAGTGAGTCTCCATTCCCATCATTTGAGCTCACCACACCTGTTGTTGCGGCAGGTAAATCTTTTTTCTTTTGTGCAGCATCGCCACTAGAGGCATTTCCAGTTGCATCTTTCTCATCTCCTGCTGACTGTTCTGATTGAGGCTGTTGTTTAGCATGGAAGGCTTTCGCTTTAGCTCTGTGTTTTTTCCCATCAGCATGGAGAAGCAAAGTCTGTTGGCTCGTAGCTTTCGTGTTGCACAACCTGTTACATAATAAAATCATATACACATCCAAAGAATCTCCTGTCAAATCTTCAATTCAACACAAGACAACAAGCTCCAACAAAGGGATTCTGTAAATGTCACACATTTCACTTAAAGTATTCCTTAATTCCTTCTACCTCTATATAAATGTACATCCATTTCCATAGCAGTAATCGCTATTGGCATATTGCATTGATACCTCTATAGTATCCATAATCACAATTTTCATCTTTTCTTCCAAAGAACAAGACATATTATCCCAAATGGTTGAATTTAAAAAGTGGGGATATCATAAGATGTGAAAGATATCAATACCTACAAAACCACGGAGGCCTATCGGATAACCCGACATTTACATCAAAATCAGGCTGTTGCTTTGAGTCCTGCTTCGATTTTGCCGGTGTGCAATTCGATGGCTTCAACTGCCCCTTTGGACCATATTTTTCCTTCAAAAACAAAACCCAAAACATCAATCTCTTCATTCCACAACTTCACACTCATAACCAAATGCACAGAAATGAGAAAATCGAACACAGAAGATGCAGTAACTTATAAGGAACTATGTTGACAAAGCTTCTATATTCTACCTGATTTTCCAACAGGCTTCACCATCATATATAACAGGATGCACAGCTTAGTGAAACGAGAAGACATTAATATGAGTTCTAACTTCATGTTGAAGAACAAACCAGAGGAGATATCTGATACTTACAGCCTCGGAGATACATTGGTTATGTCCCTGAACGCTATGTTGTCCGAAAATTTCTCCGCAATCGATGCACGACAACTGTTGACACCCATTGAAGAAACCAAGGAAAATTAACGGGTGAAACATGAAAACGCACCGATTTGGATGGGAAACAGACGGAAAGAAAGAAATTTATTCTAGAAATTAATGGCAGACCTTGGCGGCACTGCAGATCCTGAAGTGATTCGGCAGCTTTGGCTTCTTAAGATTCTCTCCACAATCCTCGCACTGAAACCAAACCATTGTTCCTTCTTCCCGATTCGAATTTCGAAAATCCTGGAGAACAAACTCGAGATCTCTGCTGTTTCAATGGAGATGTCCGAAGCGTTAGTAGTAGCGAAGAGGGGTTTAAGACCGGTTAGGGCTTTAGAAGCTTCCAGAGGTAAAAACATCTGATCAGGTCGTTCTATCAGGATTACACACCATGTCGTCTGCAAGGGAAAAACACGGCACGGTTTCCTGCTTTCTAACAGTATAACGTCACGGTTTTCTATTTTCTAACGAATCGTTTGAATCCTGGTCCCCTAGGGCATATCACGTCTACTTCTTGCTCTCACTTGGGAGGAACAACACTTCGGAGGCAAAAACCTAAAAGAATGAAACTTGCGGGTCTGAAATCGATCGAGAACGCTCACGAGGAGTCAGTTTGGGCGGCGACATGGATTCCGGCGACGGAAGCTCGACCGGCGTTGCTTCTCACCGGATCTCTTGACGAGACGGTGAGGCTATGGCGGCCGGACGAGCTGGAGCTTGTACGGACCAACACTGGACACAGCCTCGGAGTGGCGTCGGTGGCGGCCCACCCATCGGGTATCATCGCCGCGTCGTCTTCGCTCGACAGCTTCGTCCGAGTCTTCGACGTCGACACTAACGCCACCATCGCTGTTCTCGAAGCTCCTCCCTCTGAGGTCTGGGGAATGCAGTTCGAACCCAAGGTAATTGGATTCCTCCAGTTGTAGTGTTCTTGCGAATGATAATGGCATATTCTAGGATTTTGAAGATTTTGTGTGATTTATTATCGGGGGAATTTCGGATACTTCGTTGAATTTCAGTTCATAAGCTCCGAAGAATCATGTTCCCTCTGATCTATAAGATAATGATTAAGCAAATTCGTTGAAATTGTTGATCTTTAAGAATTACTTGAATTCAAAGTCGTAGAACTTTGGCAGCTAAACAGTGCGTAGAATCTGAATCCGATGCTTAGTTCGGGTCAGATAGGATCTGGTCTCGCCTATGCATCGTGCTGTGCATATGCTGGCAAACTTACTGTTGGTATGGAATGGAAGTTGTTGCTCTCATGAGCCATGATTCCATTCTCATCGAAGAAACACATACATACAATAACAAGACAATGGCACCACCGGAACAAAGCTATGGCCAATTGATCTGCAGTTCAATGTCTGATCCCTAAGCTAAGCTATGTGTTCCCAGTTGCAATGCGCTAAAACCAGTGCCTCTTCGTCTCTTTGATCTGTTATTCATTTTCTGTTCAGTGCCGAGCTATTTCTGGCATAGAACGTTGCTGATATATTATCAAACTTTTCAGGGCACCATCCTTGCTGTCGCGGGTGGGAGTAGTGCCTCGGTCAAGCTTTGGGACACAGCAAGCTGGAAACTAGTCTCGACTCTATCCATCCCTCGTCCAGAATCACCGAAACCGTCGGATAAGACCAGCAGCAAGAAGTTTGTCTTATCGGTGGCCTGGTCCCCAAATGGGAAACGCCTAGCCTGTGGTTCCATGGATGGCACGATATGTGTTTTTGACGTAGAGCGTGCGAAGCTTCTGCACCAACTAGAGGGTCACAACATGCCTGTAAGGTCCCTAGTGTTCTCCCCCGTCGACCCCAGGGTCCTATTCTCTGCTTCAGACGACGGTCACGTGAATATGCATGATGCCGAGGGAAAAAGCCTGGTGGGATCCATGTCGGGGCACACGAGTTGGGTGCTGAGCGTTGATGCTAGCCCAGATGGTGCGGCTATAGCCACCGGCTCCAGCGATAGAACTGTGAGGCTATGGGATCTCAAGATGAGGGCAGCGATCCAGACAATGAGCAACCACACTGACCAGGTCTGGTCGGTGGCGTTCAGGCCACCAGGGGGAACCAATGTTCGGGCCGGCCGTCTTGCCAGTGTGTCGGACGACAAGAGCATATCGCTTTATGATTACTCGTGAACATTATGGTAATCTATCTCTTATTCCGAGACATCTCGGTTGGTGGTGGTCTTTGTCCTGATATGACGTTTTCTGGTTTCTTCTGTACACAGAATGTACAATGTACTTCACTTCTTTGAACTTTCCCCACAATCTTTCTTATGCTTTAGCAATTGGATTCTAATACAAAATGTATGATTATTAAATAGTTTTAGGAAAACAAAGGACAGTAGAGAGAGCACAGAGAGTACAACTGCCAAAAAGTCACATGGCTAAAGACGAATACTCAATCCCCGTCTTACGATCTGGGTAACTTATTACCATCTATGATCTTGGTACCTTACTCCCCAAGTAACTCTTCAGCACATCCATGACGGCTCCAAAATCAGCCTTCACTTCCACTGGCGGATTCGAAAACCTGCAAGCCATGTCGGGGATGGCCTTCGAGTGGTAATCGATCTTGGACTGAGTGAACTTCAGCCCGTGAGCCGTGCTCACCACAACCGTCCTATCCGTGGCTGCAATCACACCTTGCTTCCTCAGCTTGTCCAGAGCGGTCAGAGCCACCCCGGTGTGAGGGCAGATGAACATCCCGGTCGAATCCGCCTGAGCCATGGCGTCCATTAGCTCCTCCTCTGTGGCTTCTTCGACGATCCCGTCACAGTTCTTGAGGGCATACACGGCTCTGTCAATGGAAACTGGGTCACCGATCTGAATGGCCGACGCAAAGGTGGAATTAGCCTTCACGGGATTGAACTCCTTCCAACCCGACTTGTAATACAAGTAAAGTGGGTTGGCATTGGCCGCTTGGGCGCAGACAAGCCTCGGGACCCTGTCCACAAGACCGAGTTCTTGGCACATTTTGAAGCCCTTGTAAAAGGCATAGATGTTGCCGAGATTTCCTCCAGGGACAATCACCCAATCCGGAACTTCCCAATTGAACTGTTGCAGAATCTCAATGGCTGCTGTCTTTTGCCCTTCTAATCTCAAACTATTCAACGAATTCGCTAAGTAAATCGGCAATTCCGCGGTTATTTCCCTAATCAGCTTCATACAGCCGTCGAAATCAGAATCTATGCTCAGAACAAACGCACCGTTAGCTATGGGTTGAACCAGCTGAGCCATGGAGATCTTGTTCGCCGGTAAGAACACGATGGATGGTATTCCAGCGGAGGCGCAATAAGCCGACAAGGCGGCGGAGGTGTCGCCGGTGGAGGCACAGCCAACGCCGACCACCGGTCGCTTCATCTTCCTGAGGCGATTGACTTGGCTGACCAGAACGGTCATGCCGAGATCCTTGAAACTCCCTGTATGGCTAATCCCACAATGCTTCACCCACAGATCGTTCATCCCTAGAAACTGTTTGCCAAATCTCTCCGCCCAAAACAGATTCGAGTTTCCTTCAAACGCCGAGACGATATCGTCGTCATCGATCTCGGGGAGAACCCACTCCTTCTTCGACCAGACACCCGATCCGTAAGGCCAGGTCGTCTTCCCCACGCGCGAATCGAAGAGGTCGCGCCAATACGCGCCATCGAAGCGTTTCAACGCTTCCATGTCGTGCTGAACATCGAGAAGACCACCGGAGCGGCTGCGGTAAACGATCTCGTCTAGGGAGTAAAACTCGGTGGATCCAAGCGGAGCATTGAAGGGGACGTACCTAGCGGAGAAGGGATTCGCGGCGGTTGAGCGGTGGCGACGAGCCTCATCGCGGATGTTCTCATCGGAGGCGCGGCGGGGCC